CGCCACCTGTGCCCCGCCGTCCGAGGCCTGGTGGCTGGGAGCCGGCAGCAACCACACCGGGGCTTTAACCTCAGCAGCCAGCCTGCAGGATGTTGCCCCCGGAGCGCTTGGTCACTGACAGCGTCGTGAAGATCTGCAGGAAGACAGGGGCAGCTTCAGACCGGGGCGGAGGGGGCACAGGCAGCAGCACGCATGCTTGAACACCCGCCCATGCGTTCCATGCGTTCCTGCACACCCGTGGGCACCATCGTCCGTCCCACTGGGAGGGCCGGCACCCCTTCCTGGGTGACACAACCACGACTGAGCCCACGAACCCGCCTGGCTGCCCGGCTGGCACCGGAACCCCCGCCCCTCTCCCGGCGCTGCTAGCCGGCCATCCGCTGTCGGGTCTGACTTACGCGGCTGCTTTCTGGCCCAACCCAACCGCATCTCACCTCCTCTCGAGCAAGCAGACAGCAGCCTCTGCCCTGGGAACCTAAATCTACCAAGCCCGGGCGCGAGACTGCACGAGGCAGCTTGGGAAGGCGGCAAGGCAGGCTTTCTCCGAGCAAGCGCCTTTGAGGAGGGCCGTGTCATGCGGTCAGCAGACTCGGGAGGAAGGGGCTGCACGGGCCCCTGTGCTCTCCTCTCCTCTAACGGAACACCGAGGCAGCGGATGCAAAGGAAAGAAGTGTTTCACTCAGAGTCTGAGGTCCAGAGGCTCGCACGGTGACGGCCTGCAGCCTAGCGGGCCGGAGGAGCACAGGGCGGCACGCAGCAGGGACAGGGAGGGAGAGGGTGCGTGCGCATGCGCCGTGTCTGTCCTCTCTTGCTGTCCTTAGAGAGCCGACAGGACTCCTCCGATGACTTGGTCTTGTTCTCCTCACTTCCAAAAGCTTGGGCTCTGAACACACGGCCACGGTGCCCATGCCCTTTGGAGGTCAGGCTGGCAGCAGCCTCCTGAGTGCCGGGATTACGGGTACGTGCCACCGTGCCCGCAGTTCCGTGCAAAGGCCCCGTGGGTTCAATCCCCAGTACCACAAACCAAATCCAACAAAATGACGACATAGTTGTGAATAAAATGGGGAAATACTTTTGTATAAAAAAGGAACAATGCTGAGAAAAGCCTCTGACCTGTTTTAGTCTTACAACAAAGACCAAGCCTTTGTTCGCTGCCTACAGAAATAGACCACAGGACTGTGAGATGCCAGCAGCTAAAGACAGCATCTTCAGATACGAACCCAGAAGAAATACAGTGTGAGCAGTCACCTTCCCCGCAGTGGTAATTAGAGTAAGAAAAGGGGTCAACCCTGCTGGCAGAGAAGGAAAACCCTGAAACAGCCGTCCCTTTCATGCTCACTGAGGAAAACAAGTTCACACTCGGTTCTGCAACACGCTCGCTCAACGCTGAGACACACTCGTCAGCACTCTCGCGCTCCCCGGCACCCTTGCACACTCACCAGTGCCCTTACACACTCAGCACTCTCGCGCTCCCCGGCACCCTTGCACACTCACCAGTGCCCTTACACACTCAGCACTCTCGCGCTCCCCGGCACCCTTGCACACTCACCAGTGCCTTTACAACTCAGCACTCTCGCGCTCCCCGGCACCTTTGCACACTCACCAGCACTCTCACCGGCACCCTTGCACACTCAGCACTCTCACACCCGTGCTGACGCCACTGCAAACACGCACATTTCTGAGCAGCAGTGCGACCCCTCCGTCTAAAGCATGTGTGACTGGACACACACCACGCGTGACAGCAAGTCATTCACGCGCGTCCTTTCCATTTATCACAAGGGGCACCGAAGAGCAAGTGGGCTGGCGGGAGGTCTGTCTGATTTCTCGGGAATTGATTTAGAAATAGATTTTATGTTGAGGACGGGGGCAGACAGCCCAGAGCTGCTGAGTTTTCCTGGCGCGGCCGAGGTGACACCGAAGCCACCGCCACTGACGGCCAACGGGATTCTAGGATTTTCATGAAAAGTGATTTTTTAAAAATGAGCAGAGGGCAGCCACCAGCACACAGGACACCCACAAAGGCAAAGAGCTGCTAACAGGTGTGGCGGTGCACACCTGGAATCGCAGCACTCAGGAGGCTGAGGCAGGAGAATCACTGCGGAGTTCAAGGCCAGCCTGGTCTGCACAGCGCGACCCTGTCACAAAACTCCAAAATACAGAGTTGCTGCAGGGGGCTCTCGCTGGCCTCCCCGCTTCCTCTCTGACCCAGATTGTCCTGCCTGAGCTCTCCCACCCCTGAGAACAGGGTAATGTCGGCAGAACAACAGCAAAGATCCAAACCTTGAAGCTCAGCCCCCAAATCCATCTCAAGGCGTTTCAGTGGGGTCCTTTCAAATGCCCGCTCTCTCCCTGAGCTACCCGTTTTCTGCTTGATTAGCTGAAATGACGGCTGCACACTGGGAGCGATCAGCGTTCTGCTCAGGGCCGCTGCGTGGCAGTGAGGCCAGCCCACCGCATCGGACCCAGCCTGAGGATCAGGCTCAGCCTCCCCGGTCCACAGAGCAGGTGCTCAGGCCCCGGCCGAGGCTGCTCCCCCTTCCCCGACAGGAGTGAGGTTTCCGGGTTTGTGAACAGTCCCTAACGGTGCCCAGCCCACTCTTGGTGCCTGGCGACCTGGCCCGCAGGGCGGGAAGTGGTCACTCTGTTCCAAGCAGGCCTCAGGACCAGTCTGAGATCGCTATTACTCCTGACCCAGCCATGGACTGACTTGTGAAATCCAGTAAACACGGACTGAGAAAGGGGGACCAGAAAGGCACGTGAAACTAAAGCCCAGGTTCTCCCCGTAGACTGGAGAACTGTCTGGTGTCTGGAAGACCCAGCCCCTCATCCTGGGGAGCAGTGCCAAGCACCCCACACCCTGGCCTGCAGGGTGGCCCTCCAGAAGTGGTGTGGACACCGAGAGCAGGGGTTCACGGTCCACCCCGTCACTGTCCATGCCAGGCGGTGGTCAGCAGAAGAGACCCAGAGAGTCCCCCAGCCAGCATCTCACTGGCCCTAGGGGAAGGAGATGTTAAGAATGCAGATGAGGCTGGGTGTGGTGGCGCACGCTTGTAATCCCAGTACTCGGGAGGCTGAGGCAGGAGGATCACTGTGAGTTCAAGACTGGCCTGGGCTACACAGTGAGTTCCAGGTCAGTCTCAACTACATAGTGAGATCCTGTCTTAAAAAAATACCAAAATACAGATCCCAAGAAGCCCTGAGCCAAGGCCCCACGGCTGGTGTGGGACCTGAGCTGAGGTGTCCTGGCCCTCTCTGGCCTGCAGCCCCTGAGAAGCTAGCGCTAAGTCCTAGCAGGGCAGTTATACTCAGGACCAGCGTGCAGCGGGCACTGAGTCTGTGCTGGGCCAGGGCACCATGAGGCCAAATGCACGGAGTCCAGCGCAGCCCACGTCCCTCAAAGCGCCCAGAAAGGCCATGCCAGGGCAGCTCTGAGGCCGGAGACTGGCACCTCCGACGGCTGCATTTGCTCACTGGGGGTCAGACTGTGTCCCCAGAAGATGTGAGCCCTGTCCCTGTCCCCGTGGAAGGGGCCTATTTGGGAACAGGGTCTCCGTGGGCAGCGACGCAGCCACAGGTAGGTAAGGGAAGTGCAAGGAGGCTCTGGAGAGAGCTCGGCCTCTCATGCCAGGTTCAGGTTTCCGCCCTGCAGAGTGGCTCTGCCCGGCTTCTCCGCGAGTAGTCCCACGCCTGATGCTGTGGCACAGCAGCCCCGGGCAGCACATTCACCGAACACACAAGCCAGCCGGCCGCTTCCCATCAGCTGTCACACAGGCATGGGAAAGATGCACCCGCACCCTTCACCAGCACCAGCTGTGTCTGCACCTCTCAGCTTTCTGCAGTCATTCTCCAGTCACCAACACGCTCCTACATCTCGTCTGCAAGCGGGCCAGCTGCACGCAACCCTGAGCAGGACCCTCCCAGCAAGCCGAGATGCTGCTCTCCATGCTGCAAAGCTGATGCTGCACATCCTCAGCGAAGAGGTCAGCTGTGGGTGCTGCCAGCAGTGGGAACCAGGCAGGCATCAAGCGGGGCGTGCGCGCGCGCACACACACACAGGCACACGCGTCTGCAAGCACACTGTATTCTCGGAAATCACTGGCTCTGCTAGAGACAGCAGCTAGTCTCCACTCCACCCCTTTCTCCCCATGGAAGCTCTCCGCAGAGCCATGTCCGGGCTCCGCCCCAGGGCACCCAGGCCTCCGAGGTCCCCTCCCTTGCCCTGCGCTCTAGGGTTACAGGCATCGCTTTCCAACCTCACTCCTTGGTGCCGCAGACGACAGCGGTCACCCGTAAGCCCCGATGCTCTTTCCGGGCTGAGTGCCATGGTTAACTGAATGCTAAGATCACTTAGGGGAAGGACAAAGACTTAAGGCTCTTCTCTGGGTCAGGCTCACAGTGCTCCCAACCACCTAAGACGCGACAGGAGCCTCGAGCTGGGAGCAGGAAGTGCAGGTGCACAGCAGGGGCAGCATTTCAGAGGTCAGCGACCCACCTCTGCGCACACAGGGTGGATCCCGATTGTGCTGTCCAGCTGCCTCTTGGTCAGCCCACACTTGAGTGCAGCCGCGAAGCCCTGGGTGACTTCTCCAGCGTTGGGCCCCAGGATGTGGAAGCCCACAACCCGCTCCTGAGGGGAAGAGAGAGTAGTATCAGCCGGTTGGTTTACTCCTTGTCTTCCCAGGCAGCGCGATCACGCCCAGGCCCGCCTAGGAATGCCCGTCAATACAGAGGGTGTGGTAGGCAGCTGCTCCACACAAAAACGGCAGCAAGGCGGCAAGGACGGAGACCGAAAGGCAGAGGTCTGTCCCTCCTTAACCAGCCAAAGAATGTCACAGAGGGTAGAAGTGTCCTCTGGCTGGTTCTGTGTGTCACAAATCTACCTGTGGTAACTGTGACACTTCAGAGCAGCTGCTCATATTAAAAATCACTTAACTGGGCTGGGGATTTAGCTCAGTGGTGCCGTCACCTGCCTCACAAACACAAGGTCCTGAGTTCGATTCCCAGTATCCCCCCCCAAAAAAAAAATTAATAAAAATAGATCACTTAACTAAGGCTCACAGGTAGAAAGAGCCATGAGTACTCTGAAGGCCCTTAAGACACTTCTGAAAGCAGAAGGAACAGGTCTGGCGATTCTGAAGTGTTCGGGAATTATTCTGGACAAACTAAATCTCAAACTCAGGCTTCAGCTGCCAAGAGCAGAGCACCCCGTCCATGCCACTCTCGGCCCTCAGAGATTTTCCAGAGCTGCCTCTGACCAAGCCGGACCGGCCACTGCTCCTGTCGGCCCACGCAGCAGCCTGGAGCAGAGCTCATCTCAGTGACAGTGGCCTCCTGCAAACAGTCAGGAAAGCCACTCGGCAGCCACAGCACTGTCACGGCCTCCACAGGAGACAGCCAAGGGCTTGAGGTGTGGATAGGGACAGCCGGGAGGTGAGTTACCACAGCAAACTGCAAAAATACTGGAGTTATGTTCCACGATGTTGGAGAAGCTGAAGCTAAAGACTGGTAAGGTGCAAAGCTCAATTTACTGAGGATGACATTCTTTTTAAATTTTTTTCTGGTACCAGGGATGGAGCTCAGAGCTAAATCCCCAGCTCTGACATTTTACATTAAAACGCAATATACTCCAACGTCGATAGCCATAAATACCCGGCAAACACAGAAAAACCTGAACAGGAGAGTCCTACGTCTGTCGGCGGGGAGAGAAGGACAAGACTCCCCTGGGAAGGGCATGGTCCCCAGCACGGGGTCTCCGCTGCCTGGAACTGCATTCCAGCTCCGCAGCAATGCAACTCAACCAGGAATCTGGACAGTCACCGGAGGCCCTGGTGCTCCAGCTGCCAAGCACTCAATAGAACCGAGCTACTGCAGGCTGCATCTATGTGGGCCAATGTCCGCAAGGCACAGCCCTGCAGCACATCTGATAACAGTCACTGGATCTGAAGAGGGGACATTCCCTAGCTTTATGTTTAAATATTTTAAGAAAAAAATGGAAGAAAAGCTAGCATACGATAAAGTTTGTACGAACTACTTAAACCAAGGACCCCCAGCCCTGCAATGAGGTCAGCGGGGAGTCCCAGGAGACACCCCAGCCCGGACTGTGGCCGGGTCTTTCAGTCACACAGGCCACCGGCAGACTGGTTACTATTACCACACTGTAGTGAGCAGCACCAGAACAGCGGGGAAGAAGAGGACAGAGAGCCACAGCTAGGATGGACTGGCACGGCGGGAAGGGTTCCCTGAGTGCTCCATGCAGCCTCCGTCTTTCTCCCGAGGCACGGAACAGACACCGATGTTTTCCTGCTGTGTCTCCGGTACAATGCACGGCTAACGGAGGCTCTGGGCAACCAAGTTCTCTAAACTTACGGCTAACGTGAGACACTGGTCTTTCTGCAGTGCCATCATTCATCACAGCTTCTAGTAGATTAATGAATGGCCTGGTGAAATGTTTTTGTAGAGGATCCAAGGGACTGTGTGTCCTAAAACATTCAGATCCATGGGAACAATCTGAACTGTCCTTGTGTCTGGGGCAGACACGGACATGTGGCTTATTTACATTTCATTTCATATTAAGAAAAAATCAGGCAGCCCATTTGGGACCCCTCCTGTCTTACTCCCCTTTCCTATCCCTCAATAAACTTTCCTACAAAAAAAATCATTAGGCTTTCAACGTAGGGATTCCTTAGCATTATTTATGTCTTCACCGAGAGCATTTTAAAAGGTAATGTGCCAGTAGGTCAAACGTTTCAGTTTTCTAAGATTCAGTTAGATTTTGGGAGAGGGAGGAAGGGAGGGGAGGGGAGAGAGGACAGACACGTGACCTGGAGTAGCGTGCACACCGTCTTCCGGGCCGAGTGGCAGCACCAGAGTTTGCACACTGATTATTTCACCCCTTGCACTGCTGAGGTGAAGCAGTTGTCCCGAGGGCTCAGTTACCAGGCTATGCGGGCAGCGGGCAGCAGCCCAACTAAGGCTCCTCCCGCTGTGGCTGAGCTCTAACTGGCACTGCCCCTGCGCTTTCACGCTGTTCCCTATTTCTAGGCGGTCCGTGACAGAGACACAGAAAGCTCCTTGGGCTCCTGCCCTCATGAGAGCTCACTACTTGGGGGCGCTGTGCAGGGCCCGTGCCAGTCAGGAGCAGGGCAGGGCCCACAGCGGAGCCAGGCTGTGCCCTCTGTGAGGCCCGCAGCGGGGAGACTGGGAGGGGACACCCCAGGTGAGCACTGAGGGTGCCACGCGCGTCCTGTGACCAGGACGGAGCTTCAAGCCAAACGCTAACCAAGTTACCAAGACGACGCGGCGGGTGCACTTACGTCGTCCTGCAGGTTACAGACTATCTTTGCGTAGCACTTGTTGTTGTCTCTTGACGGAACTGTCCATTCCAATGGCCAAAAGAAACTATGGTAGACCTAGGAAGACAGTGCAGGCTCGTTACTTCCAGGGTACGTGGTGGGCACCGGAGACGGGCCCCAGTGGAGGCCTGGGGTACTTAGGGATCCCCAAACTACACAAGTTGTGGAACGAACAGGATCTGGCCAAAAAGTAGATGGATGGCTTAGAGCTCCTCACTGTCAAGCCCTTCTGCTGTGAGCTCATCCCTTAATCGTACCTCAGCTTCAGGAGTCAATTTTAATAATGCCAAAGAATAAAGGAACGAAAGAAAGGAGCCAGGTACTCACTGCCTTGCCTTAAGAATAACACCAAGAAGCTCAACAGCACCTTACTGCCTGACAGGAATGATAACGTCAGGCAAGAAACCAAGAGCTGCCGGGGACAAGGACAGCGATGGTCTAGGCTCCCCTCCTCCCCTCCTCCTCCGGCGTCGGGAACCAGGGCAGAAGGGGCAGACGCCCTTCCTGAGGAGCTCCATCCAACATGCGGGCATTGCCCTTGCAAAGCATGCTGCCATGGTGACACGGTCAGGGTTCTACGTAAAATTGTTTTTTATAAATGGGTGTCACAAATTTAATGTCTGGTATCATGGTATTGCAATGAATTACACAGGAAAGGGAGTAAGAAAAAACTACTCCAACTGCTAACAATTGCTGAGTCACATTTATAATCTAAGTATGCTTCATTTCCCTTCAAAATTTTCAAAATATCAACTCAAATACATTACTTTTGTAATGAAAATTGTAAGTTAAAAGGTCAAAAATTATCAATAAATATGACTTACTAAGAAACTTAAAATTTAAATCTTTGAAAAAAAAGAACACTAATAAATTTAAAATTGTAGAAAACTATAAACAATCTAAGAAGGGCTTAACAAATTAACCCTAAACTGGATGATACATTTTTTAAATGATATTTTTAGAGAATTAAAGGATGGAAGAAAATATCCACAACATGACCAACACAGGAGAGAAAACTCCAGGGGACTTAATCACACTTTTAAACACCCGGGCTGGGGATGTAGCTCAGCGGTTTGGCCACCTGATTCATAAGCACAAGGTCCCAAGTTCAATCCCCAGTACCAAAATAAATAAATAAAAAAAACGTAAGTGTATATACCTACGTGAAATTAATACAAAACAGCCTGGGCTACAAAGTGAGACCCTGTCTCTAAAATCAACCAACCAATCTATCAATAAGTAAGTACTGTTAGATTATCTTCAGACTACATGAGAAAGGGTACACAAAACAAATTTCGTGTTTCACCTTGGTCCAGCCATATTTTGTTATGGAGATGCAAATATTCCAAAAACAAAACAAATCTGAGCTCCAAAACACTTCTGGTCTGAAGTACTTTGGATTAGCAGATCCTCAACCTACATCAGTCCTTAGAGAAAAAAGGACAAAAGGAAATACGCAAAAACAAAAGCAGTTCTCTCTTCATGTATTAAAATTTCCTTTTTGGTGTTTCCCTAATTCTTCAAACTTTCTATAATGAAGCTACATAATCAGAAAAAAAAGTCAGTGTTCCTAGTAGATTCAAGTATGACATGCTAATACAGCAGTATATAATGAAGGACATAATTATAAAATATTAAAGTAGGCTTTTGCATCATGACATTGACTTATAATGACAAATCTGGTTATTTAGGTTTTATCCGAAGCTTTTCCCCCCAAGTGATTTAAAGCAGCAGCATCAGTTGTGCATAGAGAAACACTGTGCATCTTCCTTGACTACATAAGAAGAGGTGAATGGTGAAGTCAGAATAAATGAGACCCTAACGTCAGAAGCAAAGCAATTTATTACTTATGGTCAGAGCAGTAGCACTAAAGGTAATTTTTAGTTTTCTTCTTATTTTGGTGTATTTTTCATATTTCAACAATATTGTTTTGCTACCAAAGGAAACCAACAAATTTGACTTTAAAAAGCAAAAAGAATTATTACCAGGTCCATTGAAAAATGATAGGTAAATCAGATAAAACTGCTTTATCAACATTAACTTTCCTGAAAGTGCTAAGCATACTGCAGTTATATAAGAAAATGTCCTGTTCATAATAAATACACACTGAGGTAATACGGGGTATGGGGTATGACACAGTCTCTGATGGTTCAGAGGGAAGTAAATACAGACACTGATACAAAGAGAAGAAATATAAAAAGTAAAATGCACAGGTAAAGTGCAGTACGAAGAACCTAGGTACTGGTTATAAGGAAGTTCACACTTTTTTAACATTTCTGTACACTTAAAATTGCTTCAAATTTTTGAAGAAAAAAGTAGTAAAATAAGAAGAGAAAAGAAAAGAGAACTTGCCTCAACATTTTCTTCCCCAAATTTCTCCACAGCCTTCTCCTCAGAAAGGCCACAAGCTCCATACTCCAAAGGAGTGAACACGGTGGTGGGAACGTTTTCATAGTCACACTGTTTCAGACCAGAGGAAAAGAATTAGAACAGGCAAGCTTGTGATTTATGGAGCTTAGTTATTTATTTATTTATTTATTTTGGTACCGGGGACTGAACTCGGGTTCTTGTGCTTGCAAGGCAGGCCACCAAACCGCTGAGCTAAATCCCCGGCCTATGGCGTTTATTTCTAAAAGATTCAAAACTGGGAGAGGAAAGCAAATGATTTTCAACCGGAAGTCTGCGGAGTCCCAGTCCCAGGTAATAACTGACTACACCGGGAACTGCTGACTTACGGGAAATGCCAAGGCCAGAGAGACTGATGAGAGAGAAAAGACTCCTGTGGCTTCTCCTCCCCTCTCCCAGCTGAGGCCACCAATAATGACCAATATTTCTCTGCTAATAAAACAGCAAAACACAATATAGGGGTACCCCATCTAATATTAATTAGTGATACAAAGTAATAGAATTGTTTGGAACCTCAGATAAACATATTAATGAGCCATAAAAGTATTCTATGCCTTTGGCTCAATAGTTCTACTTTTTAAGTCTATGATTACAATGAAAAAAAAAATTTTTTTTGGTACTGGGAATCAAACTTGGGACCTTGTGCTTGTGAGGCAGGCAGCGGCGCCACTGAGCTAAATCCCCAGCCCAGTCTATGATTCTAATGTCATCATAGCTACATATCCTGTTACCATAACCACGATAATAGGTGATACTTATAATGCACAGAAAAGGCTTCGCGCATTGAGTCGCCTCAGAACTCATTAACACCAGCAGTACCGAAACGGCTTTGAAAGGCCATTGGAAGTGGCTCTGGAATACTACACACTCTCGGTGTATCACTATAAAGCCATTAAAATGACAATGAAAGCCACAGACACATTTTATCATGTTACAACCCAAAATAACTCCAGGTCACAAGTCCATTTTACTAGCACCATTCTGCGAAGTTTCATGACTGCAGCCAACCGGAAGCCAGTCCTGATGATGACACGCAAGGAAAGTGGCACCACCAAGCTCCTTTAACTAGTCCATTCCTGACCCCTTTTACACAATAACCTGGGTAGATACATTTATTCTCCTCGTGGGATCTTTCCTGTACAACAAAGCCAAGAGCGTCAGCCTCCCTCAGGGACTCTGAAAAGCCCACTCGACTACATCAGTATGCAGTTACTATGCAGTACATCCACATCCCAAGAACAAAAGAATGGGCAGGGGATACATCCAGAATAGTGGACAGGCCACTCCGAACAGCGACCCCTTTATCTAATCTCCACATCCTTTTATAGCCTAGATAGGGCAAAAAAAGATATAGAAAATTATACTTATCACGGTAATGATGAAGTTGATGAAAAATGCAACTATTTAATTTATATGAACAAACTTTGTTTTTTTTCTTTTGGTACCGGAGATTGAACTCAGGACTTTGCACTTCTGAGGCAGGTGGCGGCACCACCGAGCTAAATCCCCAGTTCAAACTGTTCTTATTCTTACTGTGACTTCAAAAGTGACAATTTTCATAATAAAGTCACAAATACATAAGCAGTAGCTGATAAAGTACATCTAGGATATCATAACAAAATTATGAAATTATTTAAGGTCTGAAAAATTACCCAACTGCCCCCCTCTAAATAGGGAACTGAGAGTTGTTTGTTTTTTTGGGGGGTGGGTTGAGACAGGGTCTCACTATGTAGTTGAGACTGACCTGGAACTCACTGTGTAGCCCAGGCTGGTCTCGAACTCACAGCAATACTCCTGCCTCAGCCTCCCGAGTGCTGGGATTACAGGCATGCGCCACCACACCTGGCCATGAGAGTATTCTTTAAAAGGGTATCTTAAACCAGGCATAGTAGCACACACCGTAATCCCAGAGCCTGGGAGGCTGAGGCAGGAGGACTGTGAGTTCAAGCCCAGCCTGGGCAAGTTAGCGAGACTTTGTCTAGACACAAAATAAAAACGGGCTGGAGATAGCTCGGTGCATAGTCCCTGAGCCCAACCCCAGCACTGCAGAAAAAGAGGCACCCACCTTGACCGTGGAGCCTCCATACAGCCGCTGAGCCAGCAGCCTCCCGGCCTGGATGGCCACAGGGGTCAGCTCCAGCTTGTCCTCCAGGATGTCACCTATGGCGTAGATGTATGGCACGTTGGTCTGCTCCTCGTCTGTGACTGGTATTTTTCCAGTCCTGAAAATTCACTCAGTTAAAAATCACCAAGTCCTATTATAATTATTATAACTATAACTGAGTAGACCCAAATCCCCCTTCTCCCAAGGAGGCCCTCAGCGGACCCTGTTGAGAACAATCTACTAATGTATTAAACCTCAGAGGGACCAAATGCTGACTGTTCTGGCCATTATCTGGAAAATCAAAGAAATGAGAAAACTACGAAAAACCTGATAATACAGCAGTTAAGAGTGAAAATGCTCTGCTTAGCATGCATGGTTCAATCCCCAATAGCGAGGAAAAAATAAACAAAAGAGTGAAATCTAAAGTCCAAAACGCTAGACTGGATCGCTATTGCAAATACCCAAACTCATAGCGAATAAGACACAGTATTTTTTTCTTACTTTTCATTGATCTTTACTCCCACAGTTTCTAAGCCAATATTCCTTGTGCAAGAATCTCTTCCTATTGCCAGCAACACCTGAAAAATTAATAATCACTATTGACAACCTCTGTCATTTAGTCATATTTTTCTGATTACTAAGCTCATCTAATTTCACTTTCCAGACCTGGAAGTAAATCTTTCATTTAGAAAATAATGTAAAAGTTTAAATTAAATTAAAACCTTAATTTTCTTTTTTTAACGCCTTGGAACATGACACAGCTGAAATCCTTTTCCATTTCTCATCGAGACGAGAGGGGTTAACGTCTCAGTAAACCCAGAGCCCCCACGGTTTCAGGTCATTTTCTAAGCAGTGGCCGGGAGACCAAAGGAAGGACATGGGGAAGCCGGAGCCCGTTCACAGTGCCTGGGCCTTTCTAGCCGGCAAGGAATGTGACTGGACAGCACTGTGGAAAACTCTGCAGCTGCCCTTGTCCCTCAGCAAATGGTAACGTCGGCGTGGTCGGCTGCAGCCCGGTGGCCTCCGAGGCCCAGGAGAGACACAGGCACCGCACTCCCCGCAAGGCACCCGCCTGGCCGGTCCTTACCGTGTTATACTCTCCTTCCACCGTCTCTGCGCTGTTGGTGGACCGTGCCGTCACCTTCAGTCGGCCTGGGGTCCCTGCTTCAATTTGTTCAATCTGCAAAAGTGATCAAGTTTTGCTCTAAAACAAAGATCTTATCAAAGAGGATAACTGCACCTTTTCCATCTCTCCAGCCCAAGCTGAAACATAAAATGTGCTTGAAAGTTCTTGTATGTCCCTCCCACCTCCCTCGCCTTAACATTATCGGGATATGAAGTGATTCTTTATGTACCCGTATTTTTCTCACAGCTTAATGTTGCTTGTCAGAGGGGCTTTTATCAAACAGCTTTCAAATAGTCAAATTCGGAGAGAAAAGCAGAAGGAAGAAAGCCAGAAAACGTACACCAAAAATCCCTAAAATCAAACCAATACAAAGCCTCTGCCTGGATCCTTACACATAATTTACCCAGAACCATTAATCACAACTAAGATGGTGAAAACACACACACACACACACACACACACACACACACACACACACACACACACACACAC